GATGCTTGTGGTACAGATGGGAGGTACTGCATTCCTTATGTATGCACTGAATGTGACATTGCAGTTCATAAGGATTGCACTTCACTCCCAAGGAATATCTTGATAACGAGACATGATCATCCAGTTTCCCATATTTATTATTTTCTTGAAGAAAAAGAAGTCAAGAAGAGGGGTTGCAGAATTTGTCAGAATGAAATCAATACAGAGTATGGGTGTTATCATTGTCCAGGTTGTGATTACTTTGTTCATGTGGATTGTGCAATGGATGAAGATATTTTCATCCAAGAGTATGAGGTGACAGATGAAAATCAAAATCTCAATCAAATAAACTTGGGGTGGTTAATTGGAGAGCCTTCTATTACTCGTGTTCTCAAGGAACAGAAAATTGGAGAGGAAGTGATAGCCATCGAAATTGAACACTTCGACCATGAATGCAAATTAATACTTTGTGATGATGTTAAAGATGAAAAATATTGTGACGGTTGCAGGCGGTCCATCTCAACTTCATTTTACTATTGTGCTGAATGCAATTACATCCTTCACAAGCGATGTGCTGAGTTACCAAGAAAGACACGACATTGGGTTTTCAAGCAGACTTTTACTCTTGGGCCTTACGTACATGCCACGTGTCAGTTCTGTTGCTTTTTCGGTAGTGGCCTTTTCTACATCAATGATGTAAGTGGTTGGGTATATTGCATTTCATGTTTTCTAATTCCTGACGCCGTCACCACTCCAGGACATAGGCACCAGGTCTTCTTCGATCATAAAATTACAATCAAATGTAGTATTTGTGATGACGGGCATAAGAAATATGGGGCCTTTATATGCAGACGCAAGGAATGTGATCATTTCACCTTGGATTACACACGTCTTGTGATGCTGAATACAGCCCGGTACAAGAATGATGAACATCCTTTGGTACTCACTTACCGTAATAATATTCATCCTCATTCGGATCAATGCGTCTGTGATATTTGTGAAGAATCAAGAGATCCAAATGAGTGGTTTTATTATTGTGGAATCTGTGATAATTCTGCTCATTTCTTGTGTGCTCTTGGCAAGTATCCATTTCTGAAGCTTGGATTGACTCGCAAGTACGGTTTTCATGAGCACCCTCTCGCTTTTGTGAAGAAGGATTATTACCATGAATATCTTAAATGCAGTGTTTGTGGGAAGTATTGTAAAGATGTGTTCTTCAAATGTACACAGTCAGGATGCGAGTATGCTATTGACTGGGATTGTAGAAAACCTCTTGGAAATTGATTAGACGAAGATAGTCAGTTGGTTGCAGGTAACCAAAAGTCCATGCTTTGTATTCATTATTTGTTTTTTAGTTTCTTCTGCTATGGAGCTGCAATGTGTCAAAAATTTATATTGTTGTTTGTTGGATTGGTGTTCATAATACAATAATTCAGCATTGAATGCCTTTTTAATTTTGCTTTTCACGTGTATGAAGTAATTATCAATACGCATTTTCGATATATTTCTCATTAATCATTGTGTTAGGGAGGGATACGTGTGAATTTATAATAATTCTGTGATTTAGGAAAAACAGCCTTCCTTTCTCTGTTGTCTTGAAGCAATTTTCTAATTCTATTCTACATAGATAAATAGTGAAGAATGTTTAGAAGAGCCCCTCCAAACTTCCACACAACATACCTTTCTTTTCTCCTGTCACTACTGCTTCAACTGCTTGTAATGTTGTAACCATTAATAAAGATCAAGAAAAATAAAAAGAAAAAAAATGAATGAAAGAAGAAAGTACGCGCACTAAGAACTTCGATTTTTATTCCTCAATGAAGAAAAAGGAGGGAGAAACATAGGGCCAAAGATGGAAGAAGGGGGCATGCAAACAATCGCAATGCCGCCATCCATATACTTTGCATAGAGAAGTAAAGTACAAGACAATAACTAATTATACTGGGCCACTCGACAGAAATGACAAGGGGGAAAGGAATTGAAAAAGGGCATGACCATGATTTTCCTATGAAACAAAGGCGCCATAATACAAAGCAAATCATTGCAAGGATCCTATCATCAATCCTTTTGAGTACGAACACAGGGTGGATCACCTACTCTTCTTACAATAATGTATCTGTATCATCAGCTTCTCCTTCCCCACTTTCTAGGGCATCTCCAGATCTGAAGCCCATAACCAGATGCATTAATGACTAGAGAGACCAGAACATTTATCTTCTACTGAAGCCAAGGAGGTGAAATTTGAACCTCCAGGCATTTGACAACCACAACTAATGGTTGGTCAGCTTGAAAATAGCCATGACATTCTACCTTAAAACACATACAGAAAATTCTTATCCTATAGCTTTTGATAAAATAGAGTGCATTGACTCAGTAAAAAGCATACCTAGAATGTCAGCGTCTAAGCCTAGGTATGCAGCGAAGCTCAGATAAAAGAGCTATATGATCCAAGGACCACTTTGGAGAAGCAAGAGCTGTGTCTTTCCTCAAGCTATCCTCATCCAAGACTTCCAATAAGGACTCCACTGCCAGATAGTCAGCTGAAAGCATGAACAATTCTCTATATAAGTATGAATAACTAAAATTCAAAGCATAAACATAAAAACAGAGAATCTTGGGGAGCAGCAACCATGAAGAGTCAGGATGTGCATAGTTTGTTAAGACATGAATACAAAGAAATTCAACTGTGTAAAATATGTAATCTATAGTGCCAATAAAATTTCTAGTGCAATTTGTGAAGAAGTGTTCATTTGTTGAGGGATGGATCCATCCTCCTCTTCTCCTCAACCCGAGACCAACACCCACTTTAGCATGAGATGAGTAGACACTGACCTGTGGAAAATTTCTTTGTCATGGGGCAGCATTCCTTTAAAACAAGTAACAGGTGCTAACCCAAAAAATTAGGAGAAACATCCAAGAAATGCAATAATATCTCTGATGGGGTGGAGTGGACAAAAATTCCCTCTGCAATATAAATCCCACGAACTAAACGAAGCATACCAGCAAGTAATAATCATAGAAAAGGAAGAGAAAAATCCTACATTAGGAAACTCTCAAATTCACTATATTTCATGCAATTTCCTATCCAAAGACAAAGCAAGAACCACACAAAAAGGATTCGCAAATTAGTGAAATAGAGCTTAGTACCTGCGGAGAAAGCCAAGAATAGCTACTGTGAAGCCTAGAAGTTTTTGGCCAATCGGCAGAAGACTTTGCGGTGAGGAAGTCGATAGGTGAGCGCTTGAAGCATTCTTGAGAAGGAAAGCTGCGTTAAGATTGGTCTCAGTATCGATGATATGGTCTGGGCTCTTGTTCTTCACCCATTTGAGCCTCAACTTGGTTTATGCCCCCGCCATTATTGGAGCTCAAATTGTAAGCTAAAGACTGACTTCCTCTCTTGTTCTCCTCCTCATTAGCCCTTGGCTTCACCGCACTCGTCTCCTACCCTCTCCTTTACAGATTGTTGGGATAGAAAAAAATGGGGAGAGAAAAAGAAAATATTTTTATTTAATGAAATAATTTAAAGTAAAATAAAATTAAAATTTTAAATAATTCGATAACAATATTTTTACTAAAAAAATCTTAAATTTTAATTATATAATATATAAATATAATATAATATAATTTAATAAAAAAAATTGTCTCTTATTATTACCCAATACAAAAATATATATAATTTAGAGGAAATCAAATTCGACAAATGAAATGATGCCGGCTATGACGCAGTAAAAAGGGAGAAAAAAAAAACAAAAGAGAAGAAAGTGCAATTAGAAGATTTTTTTTAAAAATAAGTATAAATTTGTGAGAAAGAGATTTAAATTTAATATTAAAAATAAAAAAAAAA